GATGGATGGATGATGGAGGGATGATGGATGGATGGATGATGGATGGATGATGGATTGGTGGATGGATGGATGGATGGATGGATGAACAGACGGACAGTCTGATGAATGAATGGATGGGTGGAGTGCTGTAGAGAGTAAGAGCAGGGCAGACTTTTTGGACACCTTTGACAATCCAATATGGAGTCACTGTCAACCATGACAGTCATGTCAAGTGCTACGTCAAGCCTGAGGAAATGGGGTGTAACAGGAATGCCCCAAACCACAAGTCTGGACACTTGGATAAGGGCTCCATCTGGATACCTATTTGAGTGAGACCTCCACCCCTGGGGGGCTATAAGAACTCAGAGCAAGGGGACATCTGTCTGTCTCTCTGGGGACCAGGGTCTTCATCCAAACTGTGACAAGGATCACATGAGAAAATGCCCAGGTAAGTACCCACACAGGCAGCCAACAGGCAATGTTTCTGCTTGTAGGGCTAAAACACACCAAGTGCCCACGGGATGTGCCGGGCGGGCCACATCCAGCTGGGAAACTTGGATTTATTTAAAACTTGCACTGAAAATGGCTTTTCTTTTTTTTTAAACTTTCAGGACTAATAGGATAAGCTTCAGTTCTCAAGAAAAGTTGCTTATGCGGAACATCTCATTGCCCCAGGGAGCCACTGGCTAAATGAGACATCCTCTCCGTGTGAAAATTAAATATGTGACTTTATCTGGAGGGCAGGATCTGGGTCTTCCTCATCTTCGGGGCTCCCTTTTCTCCCGCCCCCCTCAGAGCTTGGCCTGGGGGCCGGTGCAGAATTCTCGGGGATCGATATCAATATCGGGGAGACGGGGGAGAGAGGGCGAAAGAAGTAAAAGGGAGGCTCGACGGATGGGGAAGCCTGTCCATGCTATTGATGACGGAGCACTGAGTCTCTATCAAGATTTGTTTTTGAAAAGTGATGTTTCTTATCAATTGTATCCCTTGAAGTTTGTGAGATGCAAGTCAGTCCCTCTCTGCACCCCAGCTCTCTGCACTCTCCTCCCCCACATGGCTTTTTTAGTTGCTTTTTCTTGCAGGATGGAAAGTGCTCCTCCCCTCCCCCCTTGAAGAGGGGGAATGAGAAGGGGGGGAGAGGTAAGCAAGGGCCGGCGCAGTCTTGTCACGAGGCTGGATTTTTATTCTGAGAGCAGGGGGAGCCAAGGAAGGATTTTTAAACAGGAAGATGGAGCTGGACAAGCATTTTGGAAAGAGCCCCCGCAGCAGGGCAGACACGTACCATTAAAGGGCCCCTAGTCCCCTCTACCTTTCCCACCCGCTGCCTCTGGTTCCCTTTTCCTAGGGCACTGCAGCAAGTGTCCCTAAGGCTTTTGCAAAATCAGTAAACCAAATCATTGCCCCCTTTGCCTCGGGGTTTGTTTCACTGAATAGCCCAACCGGGCAGTTTTGTCTGGGTTTGGGCCCCCTGTGGTCCCTTCTTTGAGCCAAATGCTTCTAGAAATGTCTCCGTATGTTCTCAGTGAAGGATATCAAAACCCTCCTTCCCTCACTGCTGACAACTGCACCTACCAGGGGATTTAAAAGGGTACAGAAATAATGTAATTTCACCCATTATCACCATCATCACCACCATCATCACCACCATCATCACCATCACCACTATCACCACCTTCATCACTACCACCACCATCACCAAGACCACTACCTTCATCACCATCACCATCATCATCACCACCATCACCACCTTCATCACCATCACAATCATCACCATGCCCAACCCCCACCTCGGCCCCCAGTAGAGTTATAATCACTCCCCACACACAACTGTAATTAGACCCACAGTTTTGCTTATAATAGGTAAAAACGCATAGAAGGGACCATTAATTCTCATTATGATTATTGCAAACACTGACGTTTCTATGAATGGAAAAGTCAGTCCAGGCTCCACGCGGGCGATGTCTGAAATGCGCACCCGCAGCCACATCCTGCCCATATCCTGCCGGTTGTAAAATTCCCGAAGCTCCCAGGCACCTTCGCAGCAGCTGCGACGTCGGGCTCATCATTTCCCTGGCTCCTCAAGCGCCGGGAAATCGGTGCTCCCAACGGCTCCACCAACCATGGCCAACTTCACACTTCCATCTCCTCATCGCAGACAAAGCGCTCTGCTGATGCCAGAACACAGGCCAGGGGCCCCGAACGGCAGGACAGGGTCCCTCACATGCCAGGTGCTTGCCGGGGCCGCTGACCCACCCGGGGTAACCAAAACCAAAGCACCCCGTCTACGAAAGGAGACCCCGGGATGGCTCAAACAGGCGTGTGAGGCAGTTAAAATGCTATTTCTCCGTCGGTGGTTTTAGAAGATCCCCCCTCCCTTCCACACTCCGGCCGGCGCAGACAAAAAACCACCTTGGTTCAAACTCCTCAAATCACTGTCCTGTGCTTTTTTCTGCAAGAAATACAGACAGGGGTGGAGAGGTTCCGAGGGACCGGCCCCAACTGCACACACGGAGGGAAGAGGCGGATCACGCAGGGCCGAGGGCTGGGGAACCCCGCATCTCCCTGCGAAAGCGACCTCGGGCCAGCTGGACGCCCCGTTATCAGAAATACTCAGCCGGTGCCGACATCCGACCACCGAGAGCCCCGCTCCGCTCCGAGCTCGTGAACCTATTAGATGAAAACGCCTCAATTTAGATAACTGCAAATTGCTTTCCGAGAGTCGTTTCCCATTAGTTCGTTAATCCCTCTATTCAGAGCGCCAACAAGACAGCTGATGAGAATTCCGGAGGAAGCGGGCACGGAACCAAAGCGGGAGGGAAGGGGGTTCGACTTCGGAAGAATCCTGGCTTCCTGGGTGGAGGGGTACCCCAAAATTAATTCATCAAGTCAGTAACACTGTTCGCTTTTGTTTGTGTTAAGGTCTTGTAATGGGCCAACTACTAGGCTGAGCAGTTTACCTTATCTCACTGATTTAAAAGAAAAAAAAAGAATTTACTTTCTTTACTGTCGTGTCCCCCCCCCATCTCACCAGCCTGTAAGTTCCATGAGGGCGGAGGTTTTATCTGTTCCATCCACTGTTACTTTCCCCCGTGCCCAGGACAGTGCCGGGCGCATAGTAGGCGCTCAATAAACACTAGGTGAGTAAATGACCAGCTGGTTCTGCCCATTTTTTCTAAGCGGCTGCCTCCCCGGTCTCGGCGCCAGGTCTCTGCAATCCCACCGGTCACTGTTCCTCATGCACGCACTTGGGTTTCACCGAAATTCATTTCTCTGTAGCTGTGTCTCCCTGAAACTCCTTGACAGTGGGGTCTGCGTGTTTTACCCGTTTCTATCCCTCCACCTGCCCATAAGTGTGTCCAAAATTTCGAAACCTTTGAAAACAAAGATAAGTGACCATCCATCCTCTTAACGCAAAAGCCGCAGGGTTTTATTCATAGAACAAGCTCCAACTCCAACTGGTGGTATCTGTCATTCATGGTCGTCGTGACATCCTGGAGAGAGCTCCAAACCCTGCTGTAGCCACACGGGGACAGTGTCAGGGTCCCCGAAGCACGCTGGAGCTCTGTGGCAGCCTCAGGCTCTGCTTCGCCACCGTGGCAGTTTTTCTAAGGGCCGAGCGAACCGGTGTCAACGGCACGGTGGAAGCGTGGCTGGGCTTGGATTCTGCCCCTTTCACGCCGGGAGCCACTTCTGCAGGAGGTGCAGCGAGGAGGGAAGCTCTGTGAGAAAATACTGTGACCTGGGGGCAGGGACACTTCACTGCCTCCTTCCAGCGGTCCCGTGGCGGATGCTCAGGTCAGGCCCACTTTGCAGGTAAGGAGACTGAGGTCCCAGAGGACGAGTGTCTTGCTCAAGCTCGCGCAGGGAGCTCAGCGAGGGGGCTGGGGCTCAAACTCGGTTCTGGCTGCTTCTGAAGTCTGTGCTTCTCGCAGCCAGCCCTGTCCCAAGATCCCCCCCCT